GATGGCTCAGAAAGGGAACAATGCTGCTGTCTAGCATCTGGAGTTTTGTCTGGGAGGAAGCTGTCCCTCAGCACTCACCCTGATGTCAGTCACTTCAGTTCCTTCCTGTATGCCACTGGGGCCCTTCCAGCTGCTGCCCTGGTGTTACAGCCCAGAGAAAGTAAGTCTACATAAGTCCTAAGTCCTTTGAGGGCTTTTTAAGATGAGGCACTTGAGAATCCCACAGTTTCTTCCACTTCTCCAGCTCTCACCAGTCTCTATAGCCAGAAATTATGGGGACTTATCTTACTGGCACAGAAACCTGGGGCTGGGTTGTTTGGTGTGGGGCTGGGATCCCTCACTCCTGAGGTATCCCTCCCGCTTTTTACTGAGCACATGCGGATGTGGGACTACCCATTCCACATCTCTATGTGTCTCCACCTCTTCTACCCATCTAGATGAATGTGATTTCTTTAATTTCTTAGTTGTTGGGCTTACACACAGCTTGATTTTATGACGATTCTGGGTAGTAGTAGTTGTTTTGTAATTTAGTTGTAATTTTTGCTGTATTTGTGCGAGGAGGTGAGTCATGTTTAACTGCACCTCCATCCTGACCAGAAGTCCCAATTCTCCCTCTTAATTGGCTTGGAGAAACTTTTCTCCAAATTAGGAATGACTCTCTGTCGTTATTCACACAAGAGCTACACTCTCCGTGCTCAACCCCACTGCTGTAAAGCAGCCCCTGCCTCTGAATAAAACAGTTCAAACAGTGGGAACGCCAATCCACCTCAACAGGTTTCTGTGTCTGTTCCCATTCCTCTTGTTTGGTCCCTTTGAGAGAGAGTTCCTCGGTTCATTAGTTCCCCTGCCCTTACTTACTTATTAGGCTGATACTACCTAAAGACATATCATGCCAAAATTTCTCCTGAAGGGTGGGGGGAATGGTTTTAAAATTTGACAGTAGCTATCAAAATAGACAATTGGGTGAACTAAATGACTCTTCAACATCTTTTATTTGCTCCTTTTCTGATGGACCTATAGCTGAATTTGGGAGCACTGATCAATTGTCCCTATTGGATCAGCTACCATCTTCATTATGGGCAAAATCTTCAACTGATGTTGGCAAAACTCATAGTGCACCACCCATTAAGATCAAATAGAGCCCTCAAAACCCTTCCCCAGAATTAATCAATATCCCTTAAGTAAAGAGGTCCTTCAAAGTATCAAACCCATAATAGAAGATTACAGAACTCAAGGCCCTACTCCCTCTAAGTTTATCTATGAGAAAACCCGAGGGCTGAGGGTGGAGGTTTGTCCAGGACCTCTGAGCAAGAAACCACCTTGTTATCCCTTGATACCCTGTTGTTCCTAACCTTCACACACTACTAGCATCTGTCCCAACTGGAAGGAAGTTCTCTACTGTGACTGATTTATACAGTGCATTATTTAACTAGCACATTCCAGTTGAAGAAGCGAGCCAATACCTTTTTGCCTTCACTTGGGAAAGGAATCAATGCACCTGGACAGTAATGCTTCGGGATTTTACTGAGAGCCCCTCTTATTTCTCACAAATCCTGAAGGCTGACTTGGATGATATAACTTTCTCTAAAGGCTCTGTTTTGCTGCAATACACAGATGATTTGTTTCTTTGCTCTTCCTCCCAAGCCTTCTCACAGGAAAACAGCTTTTACCTTTTAGAACTTTTAGGCTTAATGGAAATAAAATCTCTAAAGAAAAATTTGTTTGCCTAAACCCAGGTTCAATATCTGGGGCATCTAATATCAGAACAAGGATTACACCTGGACCCAAATAGGCTTCACGGTGTCCTAAATTTCCCAAGGTCCAAAATTAAGCAGCAACTATGAGGCTTTCTTGGGCTATTGCCAAAAATTGAATCCCAAATCTCCTTATGACAAAATCTCTGTGTGTTTTATTACATAATGACAGTCCCGACCCAATTTTATAGGGACAACATACCCTGTTAAGCCTCAGAGGAGAGGATAATGAACCCATCTATTCTTGAACATCCCCAAAATATGGGCACCACCATAGGTCCATAGAGTGTTTTAGTTAGCAACAGGACCCTGTGGCTCAGGGATACTTGCCCTGGCTGAAGCCACTACTTCCACAGTCCTTCTGGTCAAGGCCATAAGGAAATTGTTTTGGGGTCCCCTTTAACCACCTTTGCACCTCATGCAGTAAGATCCCTCCTGAATTTTCACCACACCCAGCATCTTTCAGTTAGTCACCTCACCTCCTACAAAGTCCTTGTCTTTTAACTGCTCCTCACATAACTCTTTGATGTTGCACTAACCTTAATCCAGCTACTTTTCTCCCCTCTGACACTGGTGAAGCTCTTCACAACTGCTGAACGCTGAAGAATCACCTCCAAACCCCACCACCAGCTCCGTTCCCCCCCAACCCCATGCCGCTGTAATGATCTGCAGGAGACTCCTCTGGGTAATACTGGTTTCCCATGGTGCATAGGTGGTGCATATTTAAAGAGTAAAATGGGGGTAGAAACTCGAATTCATGTATGGCACCTAGAATGGTGTCACCAGACCCTGACTGGAACTGCACACAGAAGCAGGCGGCATCTGAAGGAGTCAGCTATCGCAAAACCACCAGGCCAGGTCTGTACAACTTTTTCTTACTATTGCTTCTTTCTTTCATTCCCTTTGTCTTTCTTAGGAGGAAAGTGCCCTTGTCTGCATTTCCCAACCTATTGTGAAAGGGGAAACCTCCCCAGTCACTGAATCTGTCATCAAGAGCTTCAATCTGTCCGAGACAATAATGACTCTCTATCTCACTACTTTGTTTTGCACTCCTACTTCAGAATCATGATACAGACTACACTTGTGATGTTGTTTTTAACTTTGCTCTATATTCTTCTTGTTCTTATGCTCTGCACCTGTTGCTTGTCAAACCTGGACATGAGCAGTTCCAGTCCCTGCACCTTCCCTCTAATGTGAGCGAGAACGCCCAGAGGTCTTTCCCAGCATCAAGGGACAAAGGGCCGCTGAAATTGGAAGGCATGACTGTTGATCAGTGATGCTTTCAGAGAAAGATATCTGTCAAAAGGGGAAATGCCAGGATTCACGATAGAAACCTTAACGACAGGCATCCAGGCGGCCTGTGGTCAGAGCTCTCATACCCTATACGGATCATGAAAACCTCACTGGAACAGCTCTAGGGATACCACAAAGCTCTGTAGTTGTAATAGCTCTCCCTTCGTGCGTGTGGCTCACCCTGTCTGCACATACAGGATTAAACTTCAGATCTGTTCTCTAGTTTTTGGAATTGCTGAGATGAACCCTGCTGTGACATCCTGAAGTTCCAGAGAGGCTGCTGAGCACCACCAGCAGCCTGCAGTCCACCCAGAAGTACAAACAGGACTGCCAGTGGTGCTGGTTGAGGAGGTTCAGCTAGTTCTCCAGAACAAGACAACTGGGGAGCGAAGGGCGAGAACAGCTGAAAGACGTGAAGCTTTGGGAAAACTGTTGGATCCATCTCTGTAGAAAGACCACCAGTGATGACAAATCAAACTGTTTGGCAGGGTGTGAGGGGATACTGGGTGAGATATATATGCTTTTTAAAATGAGTATTATAATTTCTTTCCCTAGACATTTCAAGGCAGCGGTTCTCAAACTGGAACCAGAGTCCCGTGGAGGGCTTGCCAAAACACAAACTGTGAAGGCCGCACCCCAGAACTTCAGAGGCTGTAAGTCTGGGAGGGGGTCTGAAACCTGGATTTGTAGCAGCTGATGCTGCAGTCTGGGGACTGCACGTGGGAAGCACTGTTCCAAGGCACACTACGTGAAATCGCTGACCTCTGAACTTTAGGATCCCAGGAATATGACTTAAAGAATTGGCTGAGAAAACAAAAGTCCCCTTCACCTCACCTCTCCTCAAAATAAACAAACCAACAAAATGAACCAAAAAATGAAACTAAAAATTTTGAACAAATAATACTACAGTCATGCATCACTTAACAATGGGGACACTTTCTGAGAAATGTGTCATTAGGTGATTTTGTAGTTGTGCTAACATCAGAGTGCATTAACACAAACCTAGGCGGTACAGCCTACTACACCTCGAGGCCATTTAATATAAGCTCCCAGCCTGCACAGCATCTTACTGTACTGAATGCTGTAGGCAAGTTCAACACAATGGCATTTGTGTATCTAAACATATCTAAACACAGAAAAATACAGTAAAAAATATGGTATCTTGCTTAGGCCACTTACCACGAATGGGGCTTGCAGGACGGGAAGCTGCTCCAGTGAGTCAGTGGATGAGTGGGGAGCAAATGTGAAGGCCCAGGACATTACTGCACACCACTGTCGACTCCACAAACCCTGAACACCAGCATCACCATAAACACATGAGTAATGCCTTATGCGATGTAGTCACGAGGCAATAGGAATTTTTCAGCTCCATTATAACACTGTGGGACCATCGTCATAAATGCGGTCCATCGTTGACCTAAATATCAGTATGTGGTACGTGACTATATACAGAAACTCTTCTGAAGAAGTTATTTTAAAGGTAAATACAACAGTGAGCAATGGGGAACTCCTAATGTATTTCCTTAGAGACCAATTCTTGACAACAGTGTAAGTTTCCCACCAAATGCTTTAACAGAAATCTAGGTAACAGCACGGTATCATTCCTGCATTTCATCCTGCAGAGTTATCATGATGAAACGCCGCAAAGTTCATATTTGAAACAAGAACATACACACACTGCTGAGGTTTCCGCTGAAGTAAAGCAAAGGATGCATAATTCTCCAACCTTTCGAATCCCCAGGGCCCCTTCCTGGGGCCTGGGGTGTGGACAGTTGGGCTGACCCCACCACGGTCAGGGCCCCAGCATACAAAGGCTGCATCAGAAAACAGGCCCGCAATACCAACTGCAGGCTTGTCAGCTGGGTGAGGAGGGAAGCAGGGAGGCCCACTGCAAACACCCACAGATGGTCCACGTCTCTGTGCCTTAAAATGAGGAGTCTTTAGCAACCGTTTTTATAAAGAAATTTTATTGCATATTTCCTGTATATAATAAACATAGGAAAGGGGTTTATAATGAAAATTTCACATCATTTTCAAAAGTTTTGAATTGTTTGAAGAAATATTATTACAAAGCTATCTAAAGCAAAAATAATATTTGACCTTCTGAACAAATGGTAATCCATTTCATCATATTCTGTATTTAAAGCAAGACATTCAATTCGGTTAACATGGAGAGGATTTTAAATTACTATGTCATTTGCATTAAGAATTTAAATGCATGTAAGAAGTGAAAAGTTTAAACACGGAGAAATTCTCTAATACAATAGACACTGCTGCTTTCTTCAGATCCATCCTGCATGGTTGTCTGGACATACTTTGCACACACCAGCAGAAACCTGCATCTCCTAACAGCGCGTGAAGGGCTGGAGAGCAGAGAGGGAAAGTCCCATGCATTTCCTATGCTAAATGGCATAACTCCCACAGATCACATACACCTCGCCATATTGACTCAGTTCATTGCACTCCATATCCTGCAAAAATAAATCTAGTGCTCGACAGCTGACATTATTGCTCACTGACATTTTAGTAATATATTTCCTTAACATAAGACAGAAATATACTGAAATTTGATACCACTTAAACTCAAAAGCAATCTGGAATTAAACCACATGCATACACCCACTTTTTTTCTATGGATGTTACATTTTTCTTAAAGTTGATGCTGGAAAACGTGGTAGAATAAAAACTGGCTTTCCATGAAACGTAGACTAAGGATTAGAAAGAGAGTTCTTTGAGGGAAATGTTAAGCCCTATAATAAAAATGAAGGAACAAAGAGAACCTAGAGTCTCTGGGGAGAGGAAAGAAGCCCCTAATTTATCTTCCTTGTCTGTCCCGACACTGTGGCTCGTGTCCAACCCGCGCCGGGGCGGGCCGCCACACGTGACTGCAGTGACGCGAGAAGGGCTGTGTGCGCCCCCAAGGGCGGACTTCACACTGGCCGATTCCATGTGGGATCTCAGGGTCACAGGGAAATGTTGGGGCTCCCTCTGTGAGCTTGGGAACGACTTCTAGGAACGTCTGGATGCTGAGGCTTCAATGATCTTAAATTTTAAATCTCATTTCTACAGGGGAGTGAAACCTGCAAATTCCCGAGTGACCCCAGGGCCTGAGGGGGAACACCTGGGAGCCGAGGGAAGACGAGCATAACTTATCTGAAATTGCAAACTTGTAGCAAACATGACAAGGAAGAGTCACTGGGATGTCAGGGCCTCGCCAGGAAGCTGCAGACACATACAGGAATGTGGACATGACCACACTGACATTTCGATTTGTCACAACTTCTCATTTTCTCATTTCTGTAACATTGTCAAGTGCCTCTCTTGTTTTTGCTGTGGTATGTCTAAGGAAAGACATCAATCTTCACGAGCTCTCAAAGATTTACAAAAAAAAATTTCCAAAAAACTGCACTTCAGGGTTAGCATTCAAGGCTACAGACACAAAACATATCAGCCATACACTGCACCTTCACACCTGGCTCCAGGGATATCAATCTGTAACACCGCAGCTCAGACCCATGAAAGCCTTCTGGTGCACAATGACAGCCATCCCACCAGACTACATGTTATACAACCGAGCAGAGCTTCTCAGAGTAAAACCAGCCATACTGCTACAAAGAAAAATTTCTGGCTCTTAGCCCAACTGTTTCCATACCAATCAGCTAACTGTACCTCCTCTCTGCTTCTTTCCATTTCAAATGCCTGGGTTTGGCCTTTGAGGCAATTAGAACCAGATCAGTTTAATTTTACAACACTGATCTTAACTGTATAGCAATATAATATTGTAATTTTGCCCTGAGAGTGTCAATTATTTTACAAATAATGTAAGTCCCAGTTTAGACATGAGGGATAGGCATGAAAAAGCTAAATGGCTTGTCTCTTGCCGCACAACAGATTGGTGTCAAGGGTGGGACTCGAGCTCCTGGCTATTTGTATTTTAATATCCATTATCTCTCCAGGGTCTTCCTGAACTTGCACACAAAGTCCCTCCCTTAGGGTTCTGTGTGGTACTTGCGGTACTGTTTGTAGCACCTTGTCAGCCCTTCTGCGTAATACTGGCTGCATCAGCACCCAGGACTTCCTCTTTGGTCTTCTCTGCTCTCCTATTGCTGCTGCCTTGATGAAGTGCGTTGTTCCCAATATTTTAGTTTACACAGTGGAATTCACCAAAATGCCCTTCCAGATGCAGCTGGTATTAGGTGTGGAGGGACGGACTTATAAAAGGCAATGGCAGGTGTTCTTCTTTGTGAACTTTGGACAAAACAGAGCTCCACATTTTACAGTTGTCTTACATTCCAATGTGTTCAATGGAAAATAAAATAAAGGCCTAACCGTGAGGTAATGTTTACTCCTCTGCCCCAATACTCAGTGCACCCCCTCAGATCTGGCAACAATTTAACATAAGGAAAGACTTTAGACCTTCACACCCTTTTAGTGAGAATAAACGACCTTAGCTCAAACTGTCCACAAAGCTAAGATGTCTCAGAAGGCATCACTCCATCCTTATCTGTACAAATGCCTCAGGGCCATGTGTCTCGTAGGTCTTGGTGCCCTGCACTTCCGAGCTCTGGTGTTTAACACTGTGTAGGAGATCTCGATTTCCACACTTAAAGACCAAGCGCCTTCAGCCTCTTAACCAAGGAGGGGGTGGAGGGATCTCAAAAGAAGCTATGTGTGTGAAGAAAATAATGCCAAGTGGTGCTTAACTGGCTTATAGAGAAGTTTTACAAAGCTATCTCTGCTCGCTAAAGTTATAAACAGTTCCGCATCTAATCAATAGCAAAATACATCAGTGGCCAGAGCCTCTGTTTAAGCAAAAGAAGAAATGTATCAATAGCACAAAACTGCCCTTATATTCTTTTGAAAAAATATATCTAGGATAGACACTTCTGAATTCTGTTGATTAGCTGTGTGTTAAGTACACTTGTCTCCATCACTCCCCGGCCCCTACAGCTCCGTTTTGTCCGCCTGGGCTGGGCTGCCCCCGCCCCCACCCCCTGTCGCACCGCCGCTGCTGTCTGCAGGTGTGAAGGACAAGGAAGCCGAGTTTATGCAGTATCTTTTGCCAGTTGGACGGGGTCCGTCATCAAAAATGTGCCCAAGGTGAGCTCCACACTGAAAGAGAAGAGCAAAATGTAAGCGAAAAGTGTGTACAAAGCGGGCTTTGAGAGGAACTCCCATTAAGCGGTTTAAATGGATGACCAGCCTGTGGAGAAATGATGGAAACCATCGTGGATGATTTCTAATCTGCCTGTCAATAGCTGCAAAGATGGTTTCTGGCAGGCTCTGCACCACATGCTGAGAAGAAAAAACACTAGAATTGTGCATATCAGAAATCATTTAGAAGCCACTGTATTTTTTGATCTGTGAAGTCTCTCAGCCAGCTGAAAAATGACTGCAGTAATTTTATGAATTGAGTTGACCCTTGATCTCCTCTTGTAAGAAACATGGCAGAATAAAATCTCTCCCCCTGGCATTACTTTTGGCTTTGGATGGGTGGGTTTCAGATATGCAGAAGTCCCCTGTAAAAGATACTGTTTAACTGGCCATGACGGAGGTGATGTTTGCTTTCATGGGCAGTAAAACTTAACATCAGAGCAGCCCTGGATGTTCCTGGCACCCAGCAAAGCAACGGCAAGGTTCCACGGATTCGTCACGGTCACCAGGACTGCAAGTGTGGCCAACGGAAGCATCGCTCGGCCACACAGTCTTTTTTTTTCTGCCTTCCAATAGGTGGAGTGCTGTGCTGGTTTCTTTACTGGCATGAACTGTGTTACCATGTGAAGAAGGAATAAGCTGTTTAGCTCAAATCCATGCTGCCAACCATCCAAAAAAGCTGGGGAAGGAGAAGAGGCACAGAATCCAGACAGGCAGGAGGGAAGACTGTTTTTTATGGTGTTGAAGAGAAATGCGGCCCAGAGAAAATGTCTCGAAAAAGGCTGGCTCACTGAATAAAGCCCTGCACGTTTAACCACTGGGCTGGTGGATGAGGCTCCAGGAGACAATAGCATAGGTCACACTTACCTACCCCTCACCCTACTTCAGTGGGGATGGGGTGAAACATATGGAGACATCAGTGCACCGCATTCAAACAGACTGTGAAAATACATCATTCATCATGTAGCAAAGAAACAAAAGCCTGGAGCAAATGACTTCCATTCATTCTTTTAATAAATGTTTATGGAGTGTGCCTGCTACATGCCAGGCACTGTCCCAGACTCTGGAGATACAGGACAACCCCTGCCCCCATGGAGCTTAAATTCTAGCAGGAGAAACAGATAATATGTACACAAGGACATAAAAGAACTGTAAAGTATGGTGGAGAAATAAGTGCTAAGCAGGAAAAAAACACGACATGAAGTGTCAGGGTTGGGGGCTGACATTTTAGGTGTGGTGGTCAGGGGTGGCTCTCCTGGTATGATTTTGCATGAGAACCTGATCGCAGTGAAGGAGGAGTCTCTAGGGAAGGGCATTTTGAACATACGGAGGAGTCAAGGTTTAGGGAAGAACATGAGAGAAGAGTCATAATGGGTGATTCATTAATTCTTCTCACTGCTTGTTTGGTGTGTAAAACACATAAATTGCAGGAAAAAAGAAAGCAGGAGTTCACGAGCGAATAGGGCTAAGACACCAAATGGAGACAGTGAGAGAGAAGTGAGGGACAGGGCTCATTACAATGAAAAGAGCAAGAATCTCAGTTTCCCCATTGAAAGTGCTACACTCAATTCTCGAGGGTGCTCTAGGTATGTTAATAAATAGCACAAATAGCAAGTTCGACTACATGGCACTTCCATGTTAAAAGTGCATTCTTATTTTACTGCCAACATACTGTGTCAGCTTATTAAAGAACTAAAAATGAACCCTGAACTGATTTGATCTATTGCCTGGAAAATATGAAACAGGCCTAAAAAACAAATCTTGCATTATTTTACCACATTCTATGCAGGTTTAGGTAATATCAAGGCTGACAGCTCAGATTGCTTTTCCTTTCTATAAACAATTGAGGCCAAATTTTCAGGCATCAGCAGCTAAGATGCACCAGTAAAAAATACATATGCTTACCCAATGGACACGGGAAAACACCTAGTTCTGCCTGCCAAAACAGTCAGTGTGCAGGCCAGCAGGAACCGGTGCTCTCAGTGACCAGTGTATGTGCGCGTTATTGATCTCACATGCAGCCCCGGCACTTTGATCACTTGGCATCTGAGAGGTGGAGTTTTCACATAAAAGCCTCCGATAGTTTTTTTTTCTTCAATGACTGAATACAGCTATCCGGGCAAAGTAAATGATATTGCCTTTATTAATCATCTCTTGGGCATATTTAGAAAACAGTTCTATTTACCTTACTCCAAAAATAAAGCACAGTCAGGATATGCTTGAAGCCATTTAGAAGTATTTGTAGGGTCTTCATTTCCCAAATCATTTGTAAAAATTCCAAATTAGAATAATTTAATCTGTTGAACTGAGCTGGCTATTGGTATGCAGCTTCATTTGCTAAATCTGGAGCTAGTCTTTTGGTTTAACAGAAAGGAAAACACAGACTCTGGATGAGCCTAATCTAGGCAGAAGACAAAGGGAGGGGGCTAGAAAGAGAAATTTCAGTCAGAAAAAGGCCACAAAAGTCATTTGCAAACAACTCTAATGGGTTGGGGAGGGGTCAGGGAAATCCTCAGAAAAGGTGTAAAAATGAGAATGAAAGCACTGTCATGCTTGCCATGAGGTAGGTGTTCTGGAAGATTCACTCCTGGCTCAGATGCCAGAGGAAGAAGCGACATTTCAAAGCTTTGCAAGGAGCTCATTCACATCTGTGCCCCCACACACCTGTCCATTCCCTATGCCTGCAAAGCTGAGAGGCCATTTGTAAGAGGGAAGCCTAACCACACGGCACCCTGTCTGAGTCCTCCAGGTACATCTAGTCTCACATGAAAGACTGTTACCGGGTTTCTTTTAAAAGTGCACAAGTCCTGAAGGCTCCTCCCAGAGAACGCACATGGAGCCCATTCTTTCCAGCTTCTACCTCTGGCCGAAGGCTGGGATGATGAATGGAAGTTGTCAGTGATGCGTTGTTTCTGTAGCCGCCTGCGAGCTCGGCCTCCCCAGCCCCAGCCAACTGGCAATGTGTCGGGGTCTCTCGGCACACCTGGTTGTAACTGAAACAAACTAGTTGCCCGATGGAGAAATCTCAGAAACCTGCTGTTAATGATTTATTTCAGGGTAGAATCTTTGGTGTGAATTTTGAAAGTTGTTTTAAAAGGATTATGTATTTCTGTATTTTACAGGTAAAATGCAAACTATGACTATTCTAGCTCTTATTCTGAAAAATAAGAAATAATTGTTCAAAAGAAAAATTTTTAATTCTCACAAGAATCCTTTATTACCAAAGCCTCCCAACTTATAAAAGTTGGCAACTAAAGAACCTATGGGGAACCGAGGGAAAGGACCTCCCCCAAAGTGACTAAGCGTCAAACTTAGCATAATTCTTTAAAACCTGACTGCAATTCTCACTCGTGTACATAAGAAACACAAATAGTGCATTCAACATAGTTACATACTTCTACACTGATGTATTCCCAGCTGTCCTGGAGGGCTTTCTCCCAGCTCTTCCTAGGATGTTTGGGGCTTTATTATTGTCATTTTCTCTTAAGTGTTTGATCTACAAGATGAAGTAGTTTCAAAGCGGGGCTTTTACACTTGGGCACGTGGGGCAGGATGGGAAGGAGAAAAGCGTTTTAAGAAGAAAAGCAATTTACTTTGCCAGTAGTATCCTGTTTTCTCCCACTGTTATTGAAGACACTTGTGTGTAAGTAGGGCTCTTTTCCTCTGTGCTTATGATATTAATCTTTTGCCAAGGAAATGATTATAAAGTCACCAGTTTAGCATTATGATTTTACTGAAAGATCAAGAAAAAGAGAGATGGGCTGTGAGTCTGAAACCCTATTGTAACACATGGGTATCTTTAATCATCAGCAATATACGAGTTGTCATCTGCAAAAGATTAATAAGGTTTGGGGTTTTACCAAAAACTGCTTAACTTTTGAAAAATACTTTGTATTGGTGGATATTTACCTTTCTGTTGATTTGGCTGAGTTAGAACAAATTAATAATGATCTAAAACAAACTTAAGGGGCTCTACCGTAGATCCAAGCAATAATAGCAGCCATCATAGATTCCAACGCGGGTAAACTCTGGGATCTGATGGTTTCATTAAAGATTACTACAAAAAGTTATGTGATTTATTGGTCTCCCATTTGCTTCAGATGTAGAATTTTGATCTGAAGAAAGAAGTATATTTCCAGCAGGGACTTACTTCTCTGAATTACAGCTTAAACCATGCAAATCTTACCTCTTTGCACTGAATTTAAACTCCTGACAAAGCATTAACAGGCTGGGATTGGAAGATTAGGGAGATGCTGCCAAACAATTATTCACAGTGGTCAGTGAAACTGGAATAGAAGCAATGTATTTTATCACTAATTGAAAATGTAAACTAAATAAAATTAAGGAAAATTCTTTGTAACGGAAAATTGTTAGGAAATTGCTATAACCAGTGGAAAGGTAAGTATGCCCACCAAAAGTGGACAAATTTAAGATAAAGGTCCTCCTTGGAAGAGATAACTGGAATATAATTCCTCAGTTCAGGAGACAGAATAGTAAAAGAAAACGAATATGGTTATAACACAAATCAGAATGTAACAGCTTCACCTACTTCCCCCACCAGCAGGAATCCTAAGGAGGTCCGTGAAGAGTCCCCACCCCCTTGCTTGTTTCTGTGCCGTTAACTTAAAGATCAGGCCATGTGCCGCGTTCCTCACACAGCAATTCTTACAGAAAGGCCTTATTGCAATGTTCCTCTGAAAAGTGGTGATAGTACTGAGTCAAGCTTAACTTTCTCAATAAAAGTTTACTAAAGTATTATTACTTCAGAAGTCACTGGACACATGGGAAAAGTACAATGTGGTGTAAAGGGGTGGTAGGTTATGGCTCCTAACACGTTTGCAATTTCTATCCAAGTATGAAGCCGAATTCACTGCGTGGTGTGATGGTATGATCCATGTCACAATTAAAAAAAAAAAAGACTAAGAATTCTAAGTACTATACAGCAAGCATTAGGGACCAACAGAGCAAAAAAAATAATGCCACATTGCCAACCAAGCAGGTTGAGTCTACTGGTTTCATCCATGCAAGCTCAGTTCGTTTGTATGAGATGGCAGCAAAAGGGTCTTCATGTTTAGGTACTGCACCTTCACTACAAGGGAAGAAGTTCCTCACGCAACAGGTCCAACGGAGAATGTCTACAAGGTGCTAATAGCATCTAGCGGATTCTTCAGAACACAAACTATAATATATTGTTACAACCAGTCCAGAGAAGGAACAAGATTTGTGAATTCAAAATACAAGAAATCTAGAAAGGGAAGAAGCAAACCAGAGAAGCTTTCCACACCCCATCATACCAAAAAGGAAACAAAACAAAACAAAAAGATGGGAGAAGTTGAGATAGGGGAAGAGTCTAGGTAAACTGAAAGACTAGAAGGCAAAAGAAGATAAACTGAGAATGAAAGAATAAGAAATCAGGAAGTAAAATACAATTGGTTACTCTAGTATGGAAACCATTAAAGCAGTTGTTAAAGTTAAGATAAAAAGGACAAATGAAAACTCAGAAAAAAAGAAAACTAAAGGAAAATGTAAAACAAAAGGAAAATAAACGTGTGTGAAACACACATTAAAAGACAAAAATAATTGATATGAAAGATACTCGGCCCCTTTACTTCAGGGAGCCGCTGCTGAACTTGGTGGCAGACACCCTCTGCTCTGCTCACATGGGGAAGAGTCCGGCAAACGTTATCATTCTGGGGGCTGGCACCGATTATTTTCTACAGGGAGCTTACCTCACAAAGCATGTACTTTTGCATGTGCCTTAGGGGAAGAAATTCCCTCTTCTCTTTAAACTTAAGACTTTTATTTAAGAAAGGGTTGAATCCTTTTTAAATATGAGAAGTAAAGGTGGTAGAAAAAGAAGCTGAAAGAACCAGTCAGTGTTAGTTCTTCACCCAACTGTTACTCTTCACCCAAATAATACAGTCATGATCACCAGGCCTTGAACCAAGGGCTGAGAGCTCTGCCTGGTTAGCTGGATATTTTTTTATGAATTCTGTCTAATTTTGGCACAGTTTTTGGGTTTCACTTCTCTTTGGTCACTTTCATGGTATTTTTCTTTACTACTACTCATGTTATCTCTCTGACTGGCAGAGAGACAGGAGAAGTTTATTTCAACTGTGAATTTTAAGAACTAGTCACAAAGCCATCAGAGAGTAGAGCCTTCATGAGAGCCATCTTACCCCTCACTTTTTTCTATGTCTTTTTTATTTGGTTTTCATGAAACTCAACATTTGAAAGTGGGTTCTAAGTGAAAAAGGAGAGTAGCAGTCATACAACAGCCTTTAAGGCAGCCGGAAGGAAGGAAGGAAGGAAGGAAGGAAGGGAGGGAGGAAGGGAGGAAGGGAGGGAGGAAGGGAGGGAGGAAAAGAAGGAAAGAAGGAAGGGAGGGAGGGAGGAAAAGAAGGAATGGAGGGATAGAAAAATATTAGCTTTAAAATAGGATTCCTTAAGTATAGACTTCCTTTAAAATAGGCTTCCATAATATGTAGGTTCCTAAGTTATAAATTACTAGGTACCCTCCAAGTTACTATTTTGTCAAATATATGTCGTGGGTAGATAGTCGTAATTTGTTTTTGTGGCAGTTATAAAAATATCAATTAAAATTCAATTAGATTCAAAACTGCATTGAATTAAAGTACTACTGAGGAACAATAGGATTTTTTTTCTTATTTCAATGTGACTCTCTATGGTCTGTCTCTCTGTCTGTCTGTCTGCCTATCTATCTAAGCACCACAGAAAGCTCTGGAGCCAAACACCCAAGTTCCAACTCAGTTCAGCCACTGAAACCGACATAAAATTACACAAGTGTAATTGTCTTCCTTGTACCTCAGTTTCCTCAACTGTAAAATGAGAGAAAATGACACTATGTACCTAAAAAGGCTATTGTGATCATTAACCAGAGGGTCTTTTAAAAATGCTGATGTTCAGGACTTTCCAAACAATTAAATTAGAATCTCAGAAGGTGAGACCCAGCCTCACAATGTTCCACTGTCTTGCTCAGAGACACATACCTGAGAACCAGGAGTGAAGTTAAACTGTGACTTACATAAAATAAGAAGTCTTCTTTTCAAAGGAGAAAGTAGCTCTCATATCTGAAACCAGTAAACTTGCCAGCCTCATTTTTTAAAAAATGAAAACAGAACTTCATCAGAACCATCTCCCTCCCCACTTGGTAGTAAATAGGCCACCTACTCCATAAACTCTTGTGCCTGATGGAGGGGGTTAAAGGGCAAGTAAAAGAATGATGAGGGAGACCCATGTGGCAATCACTTGGCTATTACAGCTGCCTGATGTTCCCCCTTTACCTTTGATACATGCAACAGACAACCCTCAACAAAATACTCTGTAGTATCAGTGAGTTTCAATGTCACAATAATCAGACTTTGCATTTCACTTACTTACAGGAGATAAGAACAGGACTACCTACTATAGAACAGAATGTGTGGTTGCTCTTATTCTATGTGCAAGAAGGTTCTGGCAATGTCTCTAGGTTTAAGCACAAAATACCCATATATTCAAGTCTCTTGACTGGGATGACAGATGAACTATTTTTGTCTCCTCCTCAACACATGCTCATTTTCTGTCTTGCAGCCAGCAGAGTAAATCTGGTGAGAGCAGAGTAAAGGAACTAACTACAACATCCTTGGAAATGAGGATAGGTCTATATTCTTGGAGAAGTAGCGAAGAAATTATCCCATATTCTCCCTCTGTGCTCATACAGCCTACCATTGAACTTCCTATTCTTACTGCCATTCTCTACCCTCCCACCTCACACCCATCCAGGGTAAGCTGTTTCTGGGGTCTCTAGTCACTGTGTCTAGACCATTACCATTAGAGGTGTGATGACTGAATAATGAGTGCACAGAACATCAGGGAGAGGAGGATGACCTAAATAAACATCAGATTACCTAAGGCCACAGGACGAAATCTTCACATGCCCTCAGAATAGCACATTCCCCACTGTATTGAGTCAAGTGGCAATGATTTTCCTCCCAATGATGTTGTCTCATGTTGAAGCCAATGACTGACCTGTAACTGCACTTGCTATAAACACTTGAAGACTCAGATACCATGAAGACTTCATAGAGACTTCACTGTGGTTGTCCTTCCCCTTTCGTGATCAGTTACTCACTACGCTTTGGTTGCTGTATTTAGCAAAACCAGGAGAACTGGGAGTGCTGGCAATGCAGAATGAGCCTTGGGTTTCCAGGTAGGGTGAACTCACCTGAGAGCAGCTTGTTTCCACCCTGTGCATCCCGTAGGAAAAGTCATCTGTAAATGTGATAGCGTCCGAACTGATCACATCATGGAAGGAAGGCCAGCCTAGGGCAGAGAAGACACAGGAACCAAAACAGAGATAGGAGAGATACAAAGTCTTGGGTTAGAATGCAATTTTAAGGAAATACTATGCAAAGGATGGACATCTTTAGTTTATGAATCATGCTTACCTTTTTCAGCCTGAAAAAAAATGTCAAAAAGTGAAAGTGAATATATTTTACAACAGTGCAACTATTTTTGAAGAATAACCTTTTCCTCACATTCAGATTATAGTTGCATTGGGATTTTCTTTTTCATGAGACATTCTCAGACCATTTGGTAGTTTTCTCAAACATCCCTGGACTTACAAAGCTCCCTCGAACCACCTTTTCTTATCTCTCTTATCTTAGGGTTGCTGGGCACAGCCACAAAGCACTATGAGCCTTACAATGTGCTGTTTTCCAAAATACAATCCAATTGGTCAGGCTTCTAACTTTCCAATTATGCCACACCCCTCTAGGAAGTGTGCTTTTTCATTACTTAGTTTGGGTGGCTAAAATACTAAAAAATGAATATTCTGGTGCTTCTATCTTAATTTAATTTCTCAGGATAGTGGTATCTGGAAAGCATTGCTTCTATCTATTTTATGGGCAAGAGGCTGGCTCACTTCATGGGAGAGTCACTGCACAGTGCTCTTCTGGCATTTCTGGATAGCACCTTCTCTCAAATAGCATCTTGTTCCAATTTTTATTTATTCTAATGATTTTTAAAAACTTTAAGAAACTCAGTGGTAAATGGACCATAAGATTGTACAAACGTTTATGAGTGTAAAGTCAGGTTTTATGTTCAGTACTTATGGACCATAAGATTATACAAATGTTTATGAGTGTAAAGTCATGTTTTATGTTCAGTACTTATAGGCATGTTTTTACATGTTTCCAGAAAATATGTCGGGAGTTACTGAGCTGAAACCTGCACCCCCAAAATGATGAAAGAGGTGCAATGTTGCTGAATTGCTGGTGCATTTTTTTTCTTTTACAGAAGCCAAATTTATTCCTGCAGAAAGGAGGAAACCCTTTAAAAACATGGTGCTTTGTTCTAATACACTTATTGAAGGAAAAGAGAATGCAAACTTCACAATACCATTTCCAGTTTTAAACAAAATAATTTAGTTCATGCCAAATTTTTATAAGGAACTCTGCTAAGCTCCCCACCCCCGACTCCACGACAGCATAGCTGTCACTGTCAATGCTGGATTCAACCCTAGACTTGGAACACTTTCCCATTCCTTGATTTGAGTCTAAGATTACTGCAAATCACCAGGAAAATCTTGCCCTTCTAGTTAAAACATTCCACAAAAATTAATTATGCCAAGACACACCAGTATTCTTTAGAAAACTCCAATTTCCCTATTGTCCAAATTCTAAAGAGAATCTGAACATATTTTAGGCTGCAGTATTTAGTTTATGATGATTACTTGATACATTTAGGTGTTCTTTATTCAATGACAGAAGTGACAATTGTTAGTAAAGAGAGTTTTAATGTATGTTTGAGTACATTGACAAATAACTTATTTATGAAAAGAAAGAACATTCAGTATTTTTTAACCTCACACATCATAATTCACTTGATTGCAGCTTATGACAACTAATATTATGGGTGGACATAATTGATTCAATAGAAAACAGGTAAAAAATTAGGAATGTTATTTTGTTTTTAATTTCCCATAAAGCTGCCTCTACCCCTTCCACATACATTTCCCTATTTGTAGAATTAAAAATAGGTACAGAGAAATTATATATACATATATGTAAATTATATATGTGTGCGTGTGTGTGTGTGTGTGTGTTCCCTCTCCCATGCTACCCCTGCATCATACATAATTTATCTTGTCCTACTTATCTCACTGGATTTGTAATTCATTTGTTTTCATGCTGTCTGCCATGACTAGGTGGTGAGTACTTTGAAGCCAGAATCTGAACTCACTGCCTGTCATAAAATACAGCACAAAGGCACAGCTCAAACATTTTTTAAAATAATTTTCAATGAGCCTTATATTTAAAAAATGGGATGAATAATTATGGTACATCAGAGAGTTTCACAGGAAAGAGAAAATATAATCATACTTCTTACTTTACCAATTAGACTAAGAAATATCAATGCTGGTTTCTCACTGGAGTATGTAACTTGGTTCAATCATTACATTAAAGCCTCTCTATGTAGGTGAAGTAGATGTATTTATTTAGGATGGTAAAAACATGAAGATTATTTAGGTCGCTCACTCACAGGGTTTGGGGGGAGGGAGGAGAAGCATCAGTTACTTGCCAATGTGCCAATGTAGAATACGGGTAGTCTGGCTTTAGTCTAGGGCTCTCTTCTTATGTTCCACTTTGTTCCTCAACAAAAGGCCGAGAGGTCATTAACTTGAGCACTCTAGCAAGAAGGCGGTGGCAGGTTTTAAGAAATATGCTTAGTGCCATGTCTGGATTGGCTGGTAGTTACCGTGTTACAGTTACACAGGCCTTGGTAAAGCAGGTAAGAATAAATGCTACACAACACTGATTCTTTTACCTTCCAATGACCAAACTGTTCACAGGGAGAGTCCAATGACAGAATCTAGTTTGGGACGTATTTTTTATTCATTTATCTGAAACAACCACAAAGGCTTAGAAGTGCACCCTTAGATATTAATACTGAGAAAACTCTTCATTTTGTTGGGGTTTCTTAATACTAATCTTTCCTAACAATTGTGAATCATTGCTGACTAAAGATTTTGGTAAGGAAAGTGAACTGCTTTTGAATGAGTTATTAAACCATATAACTATACATCTTGTAACCATGAGTTAAATATTTAATAGAATTTTCCAGAAGACTATGTTCAAAAACATAGTAGAATTTCTCAAAAGATTTCAATGTTTCTGAGAAAATTGTTGACACTTGAATAGTTTATTTGTTGTTTACTAAGGCATTAATTAAACATTGGAAAAGTCTCTAAAAAAATTTCATAACTTTCCCCAATTCATACAGTGTCTCTTTTCACTGTATTAGAAATGTAGTTTTCAAGATGGAATATGTAATCCATCACCCAAATCTTAATTAGTGGAGACTGACGAGGGAAACCAAGGTGAAGATTATCACCCCATGTGATGGAACAAACATACTTCAAAAGAAAATCATGGCCAACTTCACCAACAAGGTTAACACAGGGGAATGTTGAGTTTTTTCTAGGGTCTCTCAGAAAAGTGCAGCTACACAGAAAGAGAACCCACCAGAAAGGTAAGTCCTTATTGACAGTCAAACTAAGAAGGCCCTTCACCCAGGAATAGATTGTCTTATGGTGGAGAAGGCACAGTGATGACAGCACTTTGAAAGCGGAATTCCCTCATCATGTGAAAATATTTAAAGGAGGAACTCTTCACTGCTGTAAAAATCCTCAAAGGAAACCCTGCCCCCACTCCTAATAATAAGGAAAGTGCTTCAAAGGGTAATAGGCAAAGACTGAAGCAATCTGGGTCTTGTTGAGAAAACTATCTTGAGCAAAGGTGGGGGGGGCTGTTTATGTCAGTTTTGACATTAAAGAAAGATCATCCATCCTCCTTTCTTTAGGATTTCCCTTTTGGTCTTCTCATCTAACAAAACATTATTAGTTTTGGATGCATTCCATGGACTTTCTAAGAGAAAAGCCGATTGAAAACCTGTATAAACAGTTGGCTCACCCCACCCCCAATACATCCTTTTGTTTCTACTAGATGAGGTTAGATTTGGGTGTATTATAAACTGTACTCTTAAAGATAATAGGCTATTATTACCAAGAATATCTTACATGCAATAAATAGCTTCTCCCCTCAAAGGATTCTCATTTCTGGATATTAAATAAATACAGGTTCTACAACTAAAGTGGACAAGCTGGAATATGGCAGTTCTGCCTCAGTTTTTTCCAACCATCAGGCCAAAGTAATCTGCAGACATAACTTAATACTGCTGGTATAATGTAAAGCAAATCTAGAATATATTCACTTACATCTTGAATGTAAGAGCAGGTGATTCTATTAATTATAACTCTAGATTCTAGGTGCTTGCTACCATCTACACTAGAACAATTTTTTTAATTACAGTACAATGATTCCTTCTCACTCATAAAGTGGTTGAATTTAAGCTGCTCTGAGTCTTCTTGAACCTGTAACTGAATAATGACACAGTTCTTCACAAGTAGTGTTCTGTTGGAAATTTTTAAATGTTTCACTCCAACTGTCTCCTGAAAAAAGTCTCTAGCCCAAACTTGCCTGCTTTCAAAAATATTTGAAGTTGTTAAAACTAGCAACAAATTATAAACAAGTTGAAGCCAACTCCAACTGTACCACGTTTAGAAAATGTGGCCCTCATTCCCCTACTCTTCATTCAACAAGGACTGCTATCCATACAGCTTCATTTCCCCCACATCCTCCCAAAGCCCCAACCAAAAACTAGAAACCTCGGTTAGTTGGCTACGACCCATCAGTGGAACACAGCAGAAAGTATCCATGACCAAAAAATTCATTGAATTGCAATATAATTACAAATATTTTCTTATCTTCAAATGCAAAGTAGATTTAATCATAGTAAATCCCAGTTGGGCTTAGGTGATAGTTTAATAATGACAGTATACATTTCAGTCTGGTTTTGGTTAGACAAGCTGGTGATTTGCCGATCTATATTTTTGTGTGTGTTACCAATTCTTGCAGCTCTACAATTCCAGGACCATATTTCAAAATGTGTAGCTTTCGGTTTCTCTGAAGCCAGAATCTGTTAATCTCACTAATGACAACTCACCTTATTAGCTACCACAAGCCAAATAATAAAACTCTCTCTGAAGTCCCCCTGCTAAAAATAATTGTTTGACTCGTAGAGCTCTGATTCTTGACAAATTATTCACTTCAACTGACACTTCATGTATAACTTTTCTCATTTTTAAAAGGAGGATTCTCTACTCCCCCTCAAAACCCAAAAGTTTATGTAGCAATCAACCAGATACATGCATGTAATAGAAAATCGAATACTGCAAGATGACTCAGTGAATTATTCGCTTT